AACATTTTTGGCCAGCAGAACGTCAGTAATAGGTGTCAACATGTAGTCACCATCGGGAAGAGGAGGGAAAGATCTCAGGTTCACATAAGTAACTGCTTAAGGTGCTAGGCGAACGTGATCTGCAGAACACAGACGGGGTTGAGCTGGTGTTGGGTCGTCATGGTAACACGGTAAATCAAGTTGAAGCATGCCGGTTTCACAATCAATAAGGGCAGAGTGGGCGGATAAAAAGTCTATGCCGAGAATAAGTTCATGGGAACATTTCTCGAGCACAGCAAATAGCACTGTCGTGGAGCGATCAGCCACACTTACACGCACGGAGCACATTCCAAGCACGGGCAACGTGCCACCGTCGGCGACCTGGATGAGTGGCACTGTGGGTGCCGTTAAAAGCTTTCCTAAGGCGGCAACGAAGTTCCGAATTCATCACTGATATGTGAGCCCCTGTGTCCACAAGTGCAACAACGGGTGTGTCATCTACTTCAACGTCAATAAGGTTGCGTCGAGTCGGCAGCACGGTCAGAGGATTTGGCGGGCAAGTGGTCGATGCAGCATCACCTCCGGGAGCTGCATCATCTAGTTTTCCCGCGGCAGGTGGTCAGTCGGCGAAATTGGGGCGAGCGAGACGATGGGCGACGGGAGAGCGGTGAACGGGACTGGTGAGCATGCGGAGATGGAGAGCGACGACGATATGGCAGCATAGAAGAAGCGTCTTCACTGGTGGCCTGAGGTGACTCCCGGTAAGTTTGAAAGCGTCCATGATCCCTCTCTGGCCGATAGGGGTACCCATAGGATGCCTGATGCCAATACCACCGAGTGTTACAATGGCGGGCCACGTGTCTGATACGGTGGCAGTCGAAACAAATCGGGCGATCGTCAGCAGTCCTTCACTCGGCTGGATTGCGAGGGCGTGCCAGAAGGTTTTGGCTTTGGGCATACGAAACAGGGGGTCGACGACGGTTGATCGGCTGAGAGGGAGCTGTAGTGCACTCGGAGGCCAGTCCAGCATTGGAAAGCTTTTGTCGCACAATGGCATGTACCAGTGTGTCACGGACGGCTATTTTTGGCGACACCGCGTCACGGCAATTAACGGGCGCCGTACTCCCCGACTGACCGTGAGAAACGACGGCGCATGAAAGGGATCCGAGAAGTGCAAAATGGGGTGCTCTTCTTAGAACGTCGCCGCCGACAGTTAATCCTTTTGTAACTGTGGCGACGTCTGCAAGGTCGTAGAAGGCCGCGGTATACCCCGAACAAGGATTAGACTACAAGACGCACCGACTGAGAGCTAAGTGGTTGACCGTTCCCACGGGGAAAAGCGTGGGAAACGCTTTGGTGGCCAAGCCGTATGACAACAACCCGACAGGTTGTCCCTCTCGCTAGTTGCGGGCCCTCTCCCAATTAAAAAGGGGTGGGGTCAAAATATTTTTTGGGGCGGAGTTTCCATCAATTGAACGCGCATGATTGGACCCATGTAGAGGTCTCTTGTCCTCAAGGAAGAGAGCGAGGAGACACGAGGGGGATTTAAGCGCAGGTATTTGCCCTGCTAGGCAGACTAGTCGCTGGCCAACATGGTGTAGAAACAGATCAACAAGCATCTCTTCTAGAAGTTTTTAGTGTGGCTCTGTATCGGCTGGCCACCTAAACTTAGCCGTTCGTCTAGTTGTGATGCGATATTAACGTCTGCAACGTAGACATCGGGACTTCGCTTCGAGTTAGCTCAACCTGCTCAAAGTCACCTGCAAGCACTAGCCTCCCGGAGCCACCAGCGTTGCAACACCGCCGACATCGCAGTCGTGCCAGAACTCTCTTCGACTTCTCGCATCCGATCGTCGGGGACACAACGCTGCCGGTCATCACACGTATGCCTTCGCCTGTTTATATCTTCGAACTTTCTCCTCCATCGTTCTATTCTTGTTAGTTTGTGTAGTTTGTAATAGTTCTCTCTCGTAAGCTGATTTATTGTTTCTGTTATATATTTCTTTAGTTGTATCAAGTGTCGATGTGTTTTGTTAATTGTATTGAAGTGTTGTATTAGATCCCGTGTGCTGCAATATCACTAGAGTAAAGTTGTTTTGTTTTCTCACGTCTCTGATCTCTTCACTGTCTCTGCTTGCGTACGGAACGAACCGACTTGCTGTCATTCCCATCGCCGACTTCGCGCTGGCGACGCTAGAGTGGCAGCTTGTAACACAGTGGCACCATCTGAGGGCTAGAGTCACAGGCATGGGAGTACGTGGACGCAGGAGACAGAGCTTCAAGTTCACGTCTGTTGATCTTAGTCACGTGCTCTGTAGTTAACGGCGTCTGTAGTGTAGGCCTGTCTTCTCACAACCAGGTTGCTGCTGTGTTTGGTAGTCGAGTGAAATTATGGGCGATATGTCGACTTTTTGCGGCCTCAAAACGCTGGCACTCCCTGATGATGGCATCGACCGTGTTGCAGTCCTTGCATATGAGAAGGTTGAATGCATCATCTGCAATGCCTTTCAATATGTGAGCTACTTTTTCGGTTTCTTTCATACCGTTGTCTGCTTTTTGGGAAAGGGCAAGCATGTCCTGTATGTAAGTCACGTAGGACTCTGATGATGTTTGCGCACGAGATGCCAACTCCTTCTTGGCCGCTGCCTTTCTACCCACAGACTTGCCGAAAAGGGCGCGCACCTTTTTTTTGCACGCACCCCAGCTTCCTATTTCATCTTCGTAGTTCTCGAACCACACTTTTGGGGTTCCTTTCAAGTAGAACAGGATATTGGCTAACATAAGAGTTTCATCCCAGCGGTAATTCTTACTTGTACGTTCGTACAACGGCAACCATTCTTCGATGTCGCACAATAATTCACAAATACATTTTTGTCAAAGCATCATAACCATAATCTAAAGCGAATAAAAGTATCAACTTGCAACTTACGGTTCACGCAGTGCATGACGACTTGATAATTTCGAAGCGGAGGGCATGAACTGCGATGGTTGCAGCCCCCTTTTTTTTGCTGATGCCATATTTTTGCTTTACTTACCCAACTCGTGCGAGCAGATGCTAGGGAGACGCCGAGCAGATGTTGGACGTGGGTGAATAGATGTGGAGAGGCTAATCACCCTTTCTATTAACTAAGAAGCTTTGTAGCCTTCACAGTGCTGAAAGGAACTATGAAAATATAGGAAAGCGTCCATTGTTGCTCTCCTTGGCTGTTTTCAAGTGTTATTTGCTCCTGATTTTGAACTTATACAGATAAATCACTTTTCGGTTACAAAATGGTCTAAAGATAAACTTTCCTTTTGAGTTTAGGCAAAAATTCTCGGGTCGATGTTGTTGCTATTGGACATTTTATATTCTGAGGCAACTTATTTTTCCCTCTGGCCTTAAAGGACTGTGTGAGCAGTGACACATCCCTGCTGCGGCGGCTGCATTTTCGATGGAGGCGGAAATGTTGTAGGCCGCCCGTGTGCTCAGATTTGGGTGCACGTTAAAGAACCCCAGGTGGTCGAAATTTCTGGAGCCCTCCACTATGGCGTCTCTCATAATCATATGGTGGTTTTGGGGCATTAAATCCCACAAATCAATCAATGAGCAGTGGCACAAAGAATAAGGCAAAGCAACAAAGCATGTGTCACTTGCGACATAAAATTTGCTGTCTCGCCCTTCTTTTTGTGGTTCTTTCCTCTCCCTCCCCGCACACATTACAAGCCAAAGATCACGAACTAGTAAGGTCAAGTTTCCACCATTTTTTTTTCTTTATTTTCATATAAGAGCTTCAGATAAGAAAAGAGAAGCATCCCTTGAGCCTTACCAGTTTTAAGCATACTACTATTCACACCTGGCCAGTGCAAAGAGAGCAGCATAAATTGTCAGCCTGCAACGATTTTGACTTTTTAGTTTTAGTATTTCATGTTGCAGTAATAACATTCTGTTTTCAAAATTCAATGTTAGTGGTCTTTATTGTATTATGAAACAACAAAGCATGAGTACATTAATCATGAACCCAAGAGCCATCTGTTCTGCCAAGCTGAGGGTAAATTGTTGGTAAAAACAAATGCCCCTGTTTTAATTAACATGCACTTATTAGAGATGCGGTTCTATTGCAGTGTAGCAGCCACAATGAGCAGTTTGTGCATTCCTTCTACTACCATAAAATTTTTGGTACCATTGAACAAAGCACCAGCTATTTCAAAGCATTGGCTGCACTGCTAGTCATGTAACCCATAAAATAGAGCATTCCAGCGATTTTCGCAAGACTTACTTGAGCACATTTCCAAGCAGCAGTTCAGAAAATTCAGGTATCCACTGAGGTACCCACCAAGGTGCCCGAGTGGCTACAGTGTTGTTGTTGCAAAATTATTTGACATGGTTTAAATGTAAACATTTTCACTGAAATCTGGCTGTGTGAAAGAATTACCTATGCTGAAATGGCTCTAGCCTCAGTTTCTGAAATGGACCCAACAATTAGGGACCCATTTAGTTAGTCCCTTCCTCATGGGTTGACCATATTTGTTGCAGAAGTGATGTCATTTGTTCTCATACCTTGGCTATTCCTTTTCGTTGCATTGTGAAGGCTGTGCTCGTATACAATGGACATTGTTCAGAACACCATTGGCAACATCAACCGCCCATTGTGAATGATTCCATTGAGTGGTTTCAAGTCAGAAAAAAAAATTTTTTAAATTGCTCTTTCTGTCAAAAAAGGCACTAAGTTCTAGGGTGTTTATTTTGGCTGTATAAGGCACAATGTCTGCTTTTAGTTTCTCTTTACCGGCTATATATTTGTCATCTGCTATGAGCCTGACAGCAACAAAAACGTTAGCCATTGAGCCAACCAAGGCTGTAATCGTAGTGTAATAGGTCTCCCCTTTTAGTAGGCTGTGAGACTGTGTTATTTATAAATGTATTGACCCACCATCACCCACTTTGTTTTGATTGTGCACTTTGTGAATTAAGTGTTGTACATAACAAGCATTCTGGAGCCTTGTCTGTCATGCTAGCATTTTGTGTATTCATAAATTTCCAGGTTCGTGTATCTTTTGACTGTACCCACTTGAATGTGTATTGGGTAACTGCACTTAAGGAGCCTGGTGTGGATGAAAAGATTGCTGAAATTCTCCATTCAAATGCTGGCTACCTTAAGTAAGTAGATAGTCTGTTTCAACTAATGAAATCATGTGCCATTTGCCAAAGCTCGAAATTACCTAGGGAAGTTAAGTATAAGCTGAAGAAACGGGTTGGTGTGTACATATTGGTTTGTAGGACAAAACAATAAATGTACCTTAGCCAACATCTACAAAGATTCCACAGACTACCCTGATCTCTAACAAGAAAACCAAAAGATATTGCACTCAAGAAAAGGGTCAGGCAAGAAGGTAAAAATCTCTCCAATGCTGTCCACTGCATGCTTAGAAGTAACAGCTAAAAGACTGTAGTGAGGACAATTTGGAATAGGGACTATTTATGAATATCTTGGCAACTCTTATTGTGCTGGTGACATGGTGCTCTTCAGCACGAATGGTTATGAACTGCACAATATGGTAAAAAATCTAAACTGAGAAAGTCTTAAAGTGGGGCTGAAGATGAATATGGGGGCAGATAGAAAGAATAATGTTTGGTATGGTAGAGAGAGAACAAAAGTTCACTACTGGCAACTAGACCCTAGTATTAGTAGAAGAGTGTGTATGTCAAGGTTAGTTACTAACAGGGTAACCTTCTTGTGCAAAGAAAATACAATAAAGAATAAGAATGGGCTGTAGTGCATACAGCAAATGTATGAAAATTATGACCAGCAATTTACCACTGTTCGTAAAGTAGAAAGTGTGCAACGATTGCATTTTAGTAGTACATACTATGCCTGCCAACTCTCCCAGTCTTCCGAGGAGACTCCATAATTTTCAGCAGTCCTCTTGATTGTATGGGCACAGCCACATACTATCTCCTGAAAACTTCCACTGTAGTACATTAGTGTCCTTTGAAAAGGCACATTAAGAGTGGCAAGGGGCCAGTAGTTTTTATGGGACATAGTATATTTGCTTCTTAATTACATGTGTGTACATACACCGTGTAATTTGGATTACCAAAGTAAATGCCGACATCTGTAAACTTTAATGGCACTCATTCATATACACATCACTTTGCTGCAACCCTGAGAAACGGTAAATTAATACATACATAAGCCTTCTTCTGTCGTGTCTCCCCCCCAACCTACATTACAAATCTCTCAAATTTAGAGTTCATTAAATTGGCAGATAGTCAGTACTAATGTCTGGGGCAGAGACTTGAACAGAAAAAAAGAAACTTGAGAAGTTAAGAACCACACGGGAAACGAAAGAAGTGGAATAGTTTCTAGGGGCTTGTTTCTTTGTCAGACTCAAATCCACCCAACAATTAACCCAAAAAATTCAATGAGAACATTATTTGTTCTTAAATTTAGTGTAATAATTATGAAATAAAATGAAACTGAAGTAGACAAAAAACAAATTAAAGTGGACGAAAAAGCACCCTTTTCTGTCAGTGGGACCTGAGCCCACAGCTTTTGAAGATTGTCGGTTGAGATCACGTGTGGCGTGGCACCCTCTGGCACAAAAAGTGTTTCACACTAGATGACTTGGCTATGAATGGCTCGGGTTAACACTCTCAGGAGTTGCATGTACAGAAATACTGAGCAAAGCGGATAGGGAACCGCCTTTTGTTTTAGCTTAGTTGGTAGAGCATAGTATATGTAATTCGAATGTCAATGTTACGTTGTCACACAACCCATTTATAATTTTTTTTGAGTGAGTGCTGTGCCTTGCTAATCATGTGGTGTAATTTTCAGGTCGGAATTGATCAAGAATGGCTTTATTGGCAAGGCACCAAAAATTACTTTTGTGAAAGATGTTACATATGGAAGAGCTTCCGAGGTGGAAGCCCTTATTGACAAAGTTTGTTCCGACATGCCACTTGATTTGGACAACCTTACTCTTTCAGACGAGCAAGCGTCCATTGATGTGAGTAACCGTCTTAAAAAGACTACCACATGATTGTGCTACTTTGTGTGAACTTTTGGTGTCTTGCAGTGTCTGATTTGATCCGGACTTCTCAAAGTTTTGATATGATTTGCAAATTCATACAGTTTTGTACAAATGAAATGTCAGCAAGAGTACTATGCTATTTTCAGGTGTTAAATTGAGAGCATTATCACCTGTCACTACTTACCTGATCACAAATGATGGTGTAGGCTCCCACGTAGAGCATACTAGCTGAAATTGTGCTGATAGTACAATAGAGGTTGGTGAAAGTGGAAAATGAGTGTATTCTTTCTAATTGGCCATAACTTGTTTTTACTATTTTGCTTGTCCAGGTACAGTACAAATCTTGTTATCGTAAGCACAAGAGGTTTAGATTTTGCTAACCTGCTAAGCTAAAATTTTTTAGGTGAAAATTCTGTTTGTGCAATGTGTAAATGTTTGCTTACTGAAAGAAATATGGGGGCTTACTCCTTTTAGTGAATATTATTTGTCCATGTGGCATTAAAAGTAACACATTTTACGAAGATGTTTTATTGTAACATTGTAGAAATAGCTTTGTTTGCACTGCCTCTAAAATATTAAGCAATGCATCTGCTCACAAATATTATTTGTTAGATGCTTCAAACTGATGCTAATTGGAGCTCCTACTCCAGTGGCCATCTCGAGGGGGAGAGAGGAAACTGTATGAGGTATGGTATGAAAATTGGAATAAACTGAAATTCCTGTTGTAGGCTGCATACTGTGCAACAAAAGAAGGAAATTATGGTAAGGTAATGCAGTGAGGCAATAAAGTTTATTAAATGAGTCCAAGTACTGAAAATAATCCAAGAGTATACACAGAGGGTCACAGTTCTTCAGGTGAGTGTACAAATGCAGCGATTCATGAATACGTATCACAAACATAAAGTTAGTGATGCTCATGCATCCTGTGGTATCTTGACAGTTGGAACAGATGGACCACACACATAAGGATTTAACATTCAAATCTAAGACTTCTGTATGTTACTAGAAGATTTGCAGAGCGACATTTACTATCAGTTGTGTTACAATGAATTTTCAGTTTGTTTCTTTATTACTGCTTTCAGCTCTTAAAGTCTGCTACTAATTACAAGTAACATACTTCTTCTTTCTCGTGTAGGAAGAAACAAGCACTGTAGATGGCTCGCAAACTGGGCCCTTTGTTCCTCCTGAAATGAAGATGAATATTTATGGATTGGACCGTGCAGCCCTCATGAGGCAGGTCCTGCTCAAAAGCAAAGGGCAGAGTAAAGCTCCTTTAGAAGAACTGGTGCCACTGAGGCCTGGTACCCATAACTCGGAGGAGGCACAGGCCAGAATGATGAACCTTGCAGAATATGTGCGACAGAGGAAGCGAAAAAGCAACTTGCAGACTAAGGCTGAGAGAGAGGCCCAGAGGAACTTACAAAGTGTGCAACTGAGTCCATGCGAAGAGCATTTGTCATCTGCTACGCCAGAACCATTGGTGGAGCCTGACGACACGTATGATGAAGACGAGCACAGTAATGTGTCATTTTTAAAAGAGCATTAAAATAGTTTGAAAGAAACAGTTTTTTTGTCTTCTTTCGAATAGCTGCATATTAGGCAAGTGCAGTTAAGATGTGTCTCATAATCAATGCCAGTTCCTATTTGACATAAACTGCTAAATTTCTTAAAATGCTAAACAATTCCTGAATACTTTGTTAATGCTATTTAGTACATACTACTACAGGTTGCCGCAGATGAACACAATAAGGAAGAAGACGATGTTTGATAACCCGTGCAGACTGTGCTCAATCTTGTACTCCTGCCTGTAAGTGTGTTGTGAATATATTCTCAGACACCTTTCTCCCCTAACATTTGAATGGAGGTGCTGGATATTGGCACAGGGCCGCCATGGCTGCCAATTTCAGGAACTGCGGCAATGACGTGAAATATGGCCGACTCGCCCACAGCAGAAGCAGATCGGCCTGTCATCGAAGGTTTGCCATTCAGCCAAGTTTCTGTAGCGTGGACAGTTCTACGGGCCGCAGGATATATTGGATACACTGGGTAGTCTGCCGGGTCTGTTAACTGGGCAGAGCGTCCGGAGTCCCGCGTTGACTTGTTCCTGGCACACATTGGTCTCGAATAAAGAAATCATTGCGCGAGAATGCTCAGGGGCACGGACTTAATCAGAAATTGGCGATGCGACCTTGATTTCATGGCGGACGTACACAGTGCTGTCTGAAGCAGCAGCGGCTGGTGGTAAATGGGTGTCCTCGCAGACAGCCGTGTTGGGAAGACGCAAAAAGTGAGGAGTAATAAGCTAACTTTTTGCTTCTTCAAAGTGTCTGCATTTATCAATGATGTCGTCCACTGTCGTTGAGTTGTAAAACGCAAAGAGAGTAAAGGCATCATCCGCAATTCCTTTTGAAGATGTGCGCGGCCTTTTCAGATTCTGGAATTTAATCATCAACCTTGCCGCAGAGGGCGAGCACACCTGGAATGTATTTCACGTATGACTCGGTGCCAGACTAGTCGGCATGCGAGTTCTTTTTGCACAGCACGACGATGCCCAGTAAGTTTGCTGAAGAGGTCAATGAGTTTGCATTTGCAAATGTCCCTACTCGAGGTCTCTTCCTCGTGGTTGGAAAACTAAACTTTAGCTGTGCTGAATGCAGGAACAGCGCAACCTAAAAGTAGTTACTTCGTAACTACGGAAGCGAAAAAAACAAGGACAGAAAAGAGCGCTGACTTTCAACAAAGATTTAATATCGGAGTGGTGTACATATATAGACGAAAAATGAGAAAATTGGGCATGCGTAGAAGGGTGCAGGAACAACCACTGCGATACAATGTTAGCAAAACTCTTGTATCTTGTTGAATGGGCTGAAAACAAATACATATGTAAACTTAAAAAAGATCGAGATACGCAATCTCTTTGTGCAACAACGCAACCGATGGGCAACTTACGCATTTACCGTCAAACTTGTTTATTTGATAAGCTTCACTTATTTCACGCGTGGCCTGCGAGTTGTGCTTGCTTAATACCTCGCAACGCTCAAAAACTGGCACGCAGCCGCAGTCTCGGCAGTGGATTCCGAGGTGTCCTTGAACTACGTTGTGTACATTGTTATTGTGCTCTCTTAAACGGTCATTAAGGCACCGTTTTTTCCGCCCCAGAAAAGCTTGTAAAGCTTTGTAAGCTGGTGAATAATCCAGCTGCCTTTAGAGAAAGATGCACTGTGAAAAACAGAACGCGCTTTGTACCTTGTGTTATTGGCGTCGTATATCTCATTCCGCTTCTGTGCGGAATGGTATACATAGGGCAAACCGGAAGGTGCCTTAATGACCGTTTAAGAGAGCACAATAACAATGTACACAACGTAGTTCGAGGACACCTCGGAATCCACCGCAGAGACTGCGGCTGCGTACCAGTTTTTGAGCGTTGCGAGGTATTAAGCAAGCACAACTCGTAGGCCACGCGTAAGATAATTGAAGCTTATCAAATAAACAAGTTTGACGGTAAATGTGTAAGTTGCCCATCGGTTGCGTTGTTGCACAAAGAGATTGCGTATCTCGATCTTTTTAAGTTACATATGTATTTGTTTTCAGCCCATTCAACAAGAGACAAGAGTTTTGCTGACATTGTATCGCAATGGTTGTTCCTGCACCCTTCTACGCATGCCCAATTTACTCATTTTTCGCCTATATATGTACACCACTTCGATATTAAATCTTTGTTGAAAGTCAGCGCTCTTTTCTGTCCTTGTTTTTTTCGCTTCCATAGTTACGAAGTAACTACTTCTAGGTTGCGCTGTTCCTGCATTCAGTTATGTCCTCCCAACTTGCCCAAGCTTCCATGCTTTAGCTGTGCCCTCAGGGTACTCGGCTGCTGACCCGCAGGTCGCGGGTTCGGATCTCGACTGCGGCGGCTGCATTTCCGATGGAGGCGGAAATGCTGTAGGCCCGTGTGCCCAGATTTAGGTGCACGTTAAAGAACCCCAGGTGGTCGAAATTTCCGGAGCCCTCCACTACGGCGTCTCTCATAATCATATGGTGGTTTTGGGACGTTAAACCCCACATATTAATCAATCTCTTCCGGGGTTGTGCATTACTTTCGTTTTCTGCCGATTAATTTTAAGACCTAACTTCCTGCTCTCCTTATCTAATTCAGTAATCATGAGTTGCAATTCAACCTCTGAGTTACTCAGCAATGAAATGTCATTGACGGAGCGCAGGTTACTAAGGTACTCTCCAATAACTCTTATACCTAACTCTTCCCATTCTAGGCCTCTGAAAACTTCCTGTAAGCACACGGTAAATAGCATTGGAGAGATTGTATTTCCTTGCTTAAATCCTTCTTGATTGGTATTTTGTCACTTTCTATATGGAGCACTATGGTGGCACTGGAACCTGAACTTGGCAACGTTTAACGCTAGAACATGATCTAGTGAAGCAAGTCTAGCTGTACTATTGGAGGAGCTAGAGGGCATTAAATGGGATGTAATAGGGCTCAGTGAGGTTAGGAGGACAGATGAGGCCTATACAGTGCTACAAAACGGGCATGTCCTTTGCTATCGGTGATTGGCTGACAGAAGAGAACTGGGAGTTGGGTTCCTTATCCACAGAAACATAGCTGGCAACATAGAGGAATACTATAGCATTTATGAAAGGGTGGTAGGTATCGTAATTAAACTCAATAAGAGGTACAAGATGAAGGTGGTACAGGTTTATGCGCCTACGTCCAGCCATGATGACGCTTCAGTTGAAAGCTTCTATGAAGACGTGGAATCGGCAATGAGTAAGGTAAAAACACCGTCTACTATACTGATGGGAGACTTTAATGCAACGGTAGGGAAGAAGCAGGCTGGAGACCAGGCAGTAGGAGATTATGGCATCAGTACTAGAAATGCCAGAGGGAAGCTACTAGTAGAATTCATAGAATGCAATAATTTACAGATTTTGAATACTTTCTACCGAAAGCGAGGGAACCATAAGTAGGCATGGAGGAGCCCTAATGGCGAAAATAAGAACGAAATAGACTTTATAATCGGTGCACACCCAGGCATCATGCAGGATGTGGAAGTGCTTAGCAAGGTACGATGCAGTGACTATAGAATGGTGCTGTCCGGGATTCGCCTAGACTTGAAGAAGGAACGACAGAAACTGATTTGCAAGAAGCGAATCGGTGAGCTAGCGCTGAGAGGGAAAGTACAGGAATTCAGAGTCTTGCTTCAGAACAGGTACTTGGCTCTTATAAAGGAAAGTAGCTTTAGCATTGATGCAATGATTGATAATCTGACGAGTATCATTATGGAGTGTGCAGTGGAAGTTGGAGGTGCTGTAGTTAGACAGGACACTGGCGAGCTGTCCCAGAAAACAAATAATTTCATTAAGAGGCATCAAAGCATGAAAGCCTCAAGTACAACAGACAAAATAAAGTTGGTAGAGCTTTTGAAGTTGATTAATAAGCGTAAGGTATCCGATGTAAGAAGGTATAACATGGAGAGAATTGAACACACTCTGAAGAACGGAAGAAGCGTCAAAGCAGTGAACAGAAAACTTGGGACAGGCAAAAACCAGATGCATGCTCTAAGGGACAAGGAAGGCAAAGTAACTACCAATATAGATAGGATAGTAAAAGTAGCGGAGGAGTTTTACAGAGATCTGTACAGTAGCCAGCAAAACCACGACCTTAATATAAGAACTAGCAGTAACCCAGACGACACCCCACCAGTAATGATAGAAGAAGTCAGAAAAGCCTTGGAGAGCATGCAAAGAAGCAAAGCTGCTGGTGAGGATCAGGTAACATCAGATATGCTGAAAGATGGAAAACAGATTGTGTTAGAAAAACTAGCGACCCTGTTTATGAGGTGTCTCATGACGGGAAGAGTACCAGAATCTTGGAATAATGCTAACATCATCCTAATACATAAGAAAGGAGATGACAAGGACTTGAAGAATTACAGACCGATCAGCTTGCTCTCTATAGTATACAAGCTAGTTATAAAGGTAATTGCTAACAAAATTAGGACAACATTAGAATTCGATCAATCAAAGGAAGAAGCAGGATTTCGAACAGGCTACTCAACAATCGACCACATTCATACCATCAATCAGGTAATAGAGAAATGCTCAGCATATAGCCAACCACTATACATAGTTTTCATAGATTACGAGAAGGCGTTTGATTCAGTAGAAATATCAGCAGTCATGCAGACACTGCGGAATCAGGGCATCGACAAAGCATATATAAACATCCCGGAAGAAATCTACAGGGGATCAACTGCTATCATAGTGCTTCATAAAGAAAGCAACAGAATACCAATCAAGAAGGGTGTAAGGCAGGGGGATACAATCTCCACAATGCTATTTACTGCGTGCTTACAGGAGGTTTTCAGAGGCCTAGAGTGGGAAGAGTTAGGCATAAGAGTTAATGGAAAGTACCTTAGTAACCTGCGCTTCGCCGATGACATTGCATTGTTAACTCAGGGGACGAATTGCAACTCATGATTACAGAGTTATACAAGGAGAGCAGAAAAGTTGGTCTTAAAATTAATTGGCAGAAAACAAAATTAATGTACA